TGGGATCAGAGCGTCTGGTGGTGGTTGATACGGCAGCGAAGATAACGGTGGAGTCACGAATGAAATGAGAGACTAGGGATAAGGCGAGGGCGAGCAGGTGATATTGCTGAAGTTGCAAATTTCAGAAAGAAAGAGGATAGGAGTTCGAGACTCGTGTTAATGCTGGCGGGTTCGACTGGCATGTTGTCCATGCCAAACGCCTTATAGCTTTTTTCACGATGGTCGCAATTGTCTGCTATCTTGTTCACAAGGCCTATTATTAACCTCTTTCGGTTTCGTACAACAGTTCGCTTATCGCACGATTGGTGTCGGTGTTGAGCTTGACTTCCTAAGGAAAGCAACTTGAATGCGCCTTCATTTTTCTTCATCTCACAAATTCCCTTTCGCCTTCTGCTGCCTTTCACCTTCCGTGTTCTCTTACCTTTCCTCCCCCCTTCCCTCACCTTCCCTCACCTTCTCTCACCTTCCCTAGTTTGCTCTCACCTCCCTTCTCATCTTTCCTCGCTTTATCCACGCCTGACCCTCAAGTCTTTTTCTTTCCATTCCATCAAAACTTCCAACTCCCACTACACCCAACTCGCCGTCGGTGTAATTCTCGCGGCTTTTGCATCGTTCGAAATCTTTCAGCAGTAGTAGCTTGTCACCAGCCAGTCGATACTCGACACGACAATTCAACGCCCCCTTAACCATTTTAAGCACCTTATCCTCTTATCTTTGAGTCACGACGCTTTCCGCGGAACCCCACACGACAATCCCACAATGTCGCCAGATACTCCCTCATCCTCCACCCCACGTACAACTTCCGAGAACGCCATTCATCCACTATATCCGATCATCTCCCTGTCCGATGAACGATCCAAGGTCGGGTGGTCATTGCAATGCTATGATGATCTGACAGCGACGGAGAGAAGTATACCCGACATCTGGATGGAAAGACACCACGAGTGTTCTCGTTTGTGGAGGCTTAATACGGCGGAAGAGAAAGAGGCTGCAAGAGCCAAGATTTGGGAGTTGGCGTTCACAAACTGGGACACCAATACACGAGTTCCTCAACCCGCTCTTGCTGTTGCTAGGAAGACCAAGGATAGCATAGTCAAGATTGGAGTCTTGACAGAAGATGCCAAGCCTTCCGAGAAGCTTCATGTGGACGATACCAGTATTGCCGCGTCTGATCCACCTCCTCGTCGGCCGCACTATCGTGGAGGTGACGTCTTTCTGAAGGTCGAAGTTGATTAGGAGCTCGAGTCTCTGAGATTCAAGGCTTGCGACGCAAGAGGTTCAGACTTCTCCTTCGGCACCAAATATGAGCAGACGCTTGGCTATCCGATATTCACTGCCAAGGAAGATTGCATTGCTAGCTGGGACCGTGACGAGCTCCGCCGGTTGGGTCGGGCCAATACTCAACTCATGATCTACTGGACAAGGAACGCGCTGCTCTTCTCCCTCAAAAACGGATTGGGAAACCGTGGGAACACATACCAAACAACACTGACGATCGACGAGACGCCACCCAAGCTCGAGAAGTTGACTCGCGTAAAGCTTGTCAGCGATGTTTGGGCAAAAACCATCGACGCTTGGCTTCTATCGCCACTGTCTGGGACACTGTGAACACTTGGACTCCGTAGGTTTACAATAATGACCTCCTGTCTACCTAGTCTGAACCAATGACTGACGTTGCCACAGATTCCTACCCTCTTGATCACCGGTGCCGCCTGTGCGCAGCAAGGATGAAGACCGTTGATCCCTTTAGGCATTGCTGTTGCAAATGAAAGATCATTCGCCTTTTGCTGTTGTCACACCAAGAGAATGCCGGTTCTCTTCCAATAAGTTGACATTAGGGTTGTAAATTACAGTTGTGGCGGAGGCTCGGTAGGGTCCGAAGCCTTCTCTTGTGACAGAACCGATCCTCATGTCGCTTTTCGTATGAATCCAATCCGTAATGACAATATCTCCCATCAACATAAAGACGCTGTTGATATCGAAGCTTAGTTCATTATGGTGGCATCATCTACCCACTCTTGGCCTCGCCGCCTTGACCGTGATTAGGCCTATAAATGACACTCGCTGAGGCCTCCTTTTTCAAGATAGCCTCCTTAATTAGGAAGAAATCCCGCGGTTGATCTATCGCAATCACTTTGACAAACCACTAGCTGAGAAATTCGCGGAACATTCTGCACGCCGGTGTCGTGAGGAGCATTATCAATATCGAATCCTTCCGCATCCTTCGGGGACCTCCCATGTGGGGCGCCGGGCCGGATCCGGTGGTCTCGGATTTACAGGGCCATTTCTTTTGTCATAATCCCGAACCGGGTCGGCTTTGGCCTGCACCCGATTTTGAAACTTCGCTGGATTCTGCTCCCTGTCGGACCAAGCCAAGACGTTGGCCCGATAGCCCGCCCAGAATATTTTCTGTGGCTTCAGGCACCGCTGATTATTGCGCGGGCATGATGTTCCTGAAGGCGGGGGCTGTGTTTTCGTAGACACCAACATAGCTTACGAAAAAGCACTAATCAGAAAAACCACGACACGTGTGCCGTGCTGTGTAGAGATTGGGGGAACCTGATGATTATATAGATTCTATCTTCCGGAGTTCGTGAGGTAGGTTTGATATATTCTAACATTAGAGAACTGGGAATTTTGAGTACTTCGGGGTTTTATTTCTACCTCCCGCATTGTTTGAGTCACCACGTCTGATCCAGGCCCTATCACCACATCCGCAATTCATGATGTTAAATCGCAACATGAACCAGCTTTTCCCACCTAAACCCACTTTCACAGAACAGAATCTCCCAAACCAAGCAGGCAGAGTGCGTGTTGCTTTACCAACTACACTCACATTCAGTAACGAAATTAACAAGACACAGGTATTCATCATCACTGGCGGAGCATCTGGCATTGGACTGGAACTCTGCAAGATTCTTTATGCAGCCAACGCGACGATATACATCGCGACCCGCTCAAGTGAGAAGATAGCCGAAGCAATCAAGACCATCAAAGCCCTTCATCCATTGAGCAATGGGAAGCTGGAGCCGCTCGTTCTCGATCTCGCAGATCTGACAACAGTCAAACCAGCCGTCGAATCCTTCCTGGCAAAAGAGTCGAGGTTAGATGTCCTGATACACAACGCCGGCGTCATGATGCCGCCTCAGGGTAGCACAAGCGCTCAAGGTCATGAGCTCCAGATTGGCACCAACGCCCTCGGCCCGTATCTTCTCACGCGATGTCTGGAGGAGAGATTACGGGCTACGGCTCGACTAGAAGGAATTCCAAAAGGGAGCGTAAGAGTGGTCTGGGTCGCGAGTATGATTTCGCTTGGGGCACCTAAGGGTGGTCTGATCTGGGATGACAGCAAGGGCTCGCCGAAGCTCTCTGGGGATTCTATGAGCGATTACATGCAAGGGAAAGTCGGCTGCGTCTTTCTTGCCGATGAGTTTGCGAAGCGAGTGAAGGATGATGGCATCGTCTCTGTGGTAAGCCCGGTTTCCCCGCTTCGTCACATACAACGGATGCTGACTTGAGGGACAGAGTGTGAACCCCGGACTAGTCAAAACAGAGTTGCAGAGGCACGCTCCAGCAGCAATGAGCGTCATCATGGTATGTCCAGAGTCCTTGGCATGGTGGTTCCCGCCATAAAGCTAATCGAGTCTCAGGGTGTCGTGTTCAAAGGACCCAGACATGGCGCATATAGTGAGCTATTCGCGGCTTGTTCCCCAGACGTTTCGGTGGAGAAGTCTGGTTCGTACATTATTCCGTGGGGAAGATTTGGATGCATCCCGGAAGACATTGCTGAGGGAATGAAGCCGCCATCAAGCGGGGAGAAGTCTCTAGGAACCAAGTTCTGGAACTGGTGTGAGAGGGAGACCTTGTGTTATTAATGAACAAAGCAACCTAGTAGTCTAAATTTACACCAGGAATCGGGATTCAACTTCTTCATTCTTCGTTAGGGATTATAAAGGGCCTAAGAAACAAATGACCAGCTTCGAGATACAGATGTATACAGCGCAGAGCGTACGCAGCGAATAAAGGGCATATATCAGCATTTCATCTTTTGTACCTTACAGCAGTCAGCATCTATTAGCATCCACCCTATGATCAATGCCTACCTAACCGACAGAAGCAGGAAAGTGGGCCTTTTACAATGACAATGTGACATAAGGTAAGAAAACAAAGGCAAGCAGGCCAGACGTGGCATGGTATAATTATGCAGAAGGGGTAGGAGGTACACGGGTTTAAGACCCATGCGCTTTCTACATTTAGTCTCTAAAATAGGATACGCAGAGTAAAACATCCATTAACGAGCTCATATTTTACTCTATATATTCTATCAACGACCTCGTGGCTAAGGAAAAGTCCTCTTAACGCGACGTAATTTCCTTTTTCTTTCTTTTCTCTTTTTCTTCTCTCTTCCTCCATCTATAAGCCGAGATTCGCAATACTTTAACTATATTTAAACATCCCTATAGAGAAGGACTTAGATAAGTCTTATCGTATATAATTCCAATATTTCGCAAATAACCCCCGTCCATAAGCTCTATATTTCTTAATTACAGTATATACTTTAATCGTACGAAAAGAAATGCTAACCGCCGTAAATACCCGTTCGTTTACCCAATTCCAGACCAACGATACCGCCTCCTCCTACCCCCGCCGTTCTAGATTCCGTAGCTACATTACCCGTATTATAGAAGAGAAGCGTATACTTCGCTCCGCTCGACAAGATAATTCGGTAAGCATAGTTGATTGTTACATCTAGTAGGGCTAGATACGGTTCCCTGCCTACTTTCTCGAAGTACGACGATCTGAGTACCGCCCAGAAAGCGATCCCTGAACCATATATGGAGGTGTACCTGGATGTTACCAGATTCCGAGAGGTGGCTGGCCGATAGGCCCTCGATAACCGCATCAAGGAGCTCTGGTGCCTCGTCTTCACAAGCTGTGATACCAGCATGGTGGTCATGCCCCCAGTGCCTGCGACCAAGAGATAAGCGGCCCAAACGACCATGTACGTCGGCACCCTCACAGAGGACGCCAGTGTGTCCGCGGCGAGTAATGCTCGCGCGAAGAAGAGCCACGCGGTGCCCACGGTTCCTGCCTGGCCACAACGGGAGCTGCGGTCTTTATAAAGATCAATATCAATTAGGCGGACAACGACCTCACATTCCCTTTTGTAGATGTCAAGGGATCGACCTTCCAGTCGTCTATGAGATACGACATGGCCGAGAACATGACAATCGACCATGCCAAGGGGCACCTGACCACCCAGTGGGATATGGCAGAGCTCTGCCGTCTCGCAAAGGCCAACACATCTCTGATGGTCTATTGGTGCCGGAATGCCCTTCTAAAGGATCTCCGCAGTGCCGGCCACCCAGGAGTGGCAACCGACGAGTATTATCCTGATCTATCGGAATTGGTACACATTGAACTATGCAGAGACGTCTGGAGGGCGAAACTGCGATCAACCATGGTATCTATGGAGGTGTATGAGCGGAGCGCTTGCGAGGGGGAGGTTGCGTGATGGTCACGGATTGCTGTAAATTACCGTCCATAGCGAAGCATATCAGAGCATGGAATACCCCGCTGCGTGATGAACCCAATCCTTTGTTTACCTTATACTAGTGTTACCTCTTAGAACTATCTTCCAACCAACTCTATTTCTACTCTTATCGGTATTATTACTATTCCTATCCGGTTCTCTTCGTATACACTGCTGAGAATACACGTAAAGCATCGCAGCAAAACGCCAATAGCAATAGAAATTGTAGGCGTGACATAGGAAATAGGGTTCAGAGTATCATGACCAATGAGAGATTGTATCATTCACTAGATGACTAAGTTTACGAATTGTAGATGCATTTTTCTACTCCTACGCCATGACTTTGAGGGCATCGCTTGCCCACTGAGGGGCGTTTACCCCCTGAAGTCTCACGAAAGCAAGACCTGGCCTCCACTCAGTAAAGATGGTCTGAAACCTGGTAGAGTCTTGCACGGAGTGCCCTTTGATGTGAGGTAGGCTTGGAAACTCATCATTATGGGGTATGCCCGGGCGACATTGAAGCACATACAGGCGTATCACTTTGGTGTCCAGAGTACCCTGTCTTTGCCGAGTGTGGGTGGCCGGATATCTGTAGCAAGAAACCGATGCTTTTCCTATTTTCAATATGCGCTAGGCATCAAAGATATGTACGGAATAATATGTTCACGAAATCTCCTGATAACCATTGCCACCCTAATTAAGGATGTCAACGTTCCACCATAACCTTTCCCTCTAGCAAGTTGTCGCGCCGTTGCCAGTGAAAGAGCCAGACTGGTACGCGCCGCTGGCATCATCGAGACATTCAGCTGATACATAAGTTAATTAACCGGCTTTATGAATATGACCACATACTTCACTTACCAACAGTAACCAGCTTGAGGTTGTTCTGCTTCGCCCAGTTGATCAACCACGGGGTCAAAGTCTGCACCGTGGTTGCGTAGGTCTCGTGCATGAGAGGGATATGTCCGTTGCCGCTCGCGCCAGCAGCAGTGAACTTGGCCTCGCTCTGCGCCGGCGTCTGCCCGTTCCAATCGCCAGAGTCTACATCATCAGTGATGACCTTGTATCCCAGCGTCTTCATCGTCGAGAGCACGGATCCGCCGGTAGCGAGGTACGGCGGGCGCATGTAGGCAGGCTTCTTGCCGATGATGTTAACCATCGCCTGTTCGAGCTTCTGCATCTCGGTCGTGAGCTGCGCCGTGGTCAAGCTACCAAAGGTGGACGGGTGGGTCCAGGTGTGCGAGGCAATCTGGTGGCCAGAGTCGAAGGCCTTCTTGACGGCGGTGCGCTGGTTGTAGATGCACCCGTAGAGGGTTCCCGTCATGAAGAAAGTGGCCTTGGCGCCGCCGTTGTTCAGGATGTCGACCAGCTGGGAAGTGTACTGGTACGGGCCATCGTCGTAGGCGAGGGCGAAGACGCCGGGCTTGGCGCACTTTTGGATCACGACGCCAGCGCTCGGGGCGCGCTTGATGAGCTCCATGGGGTTCTCGATAGGGATGGCGGCCGCGCTGGCGGCCATCAGGAGACCGGTGACGATGGTATCGAGAAGCATGATGGGCGAATCGATGTTTCTGTCGAAGAATTTAGAGTAGCGAGGGGACTAACGATGGTTGTGGACATCAAGCTTTCAAAAATAGGAATGACCTGGCTGGGCAGCCGTCTATATATGCTTATTCAATAGGTGCGCTCAACAGGCGATGATGAGCCCACACGAAGCACTTCAATCTCGTCACGACTAAAGAACGCAAAAGACGGGAACACCTCCTTTGTGGGGTTATTGGACATGGGGTGAACGGCCGGGTGCGACCTCTTCGGGAGTTCGCTTCGTGGCTCAAGACGAACCTTGCTTCTCCCAGGGGCAAGATTCAAGAGTACCACGGCGCGAGGCCGGCAGTGAGGGGCCTCTAGGGGGCTCGATTCGACTACATTGGGTCAATAGCAATCTAGATGAGTGTGCGGGAGGGAAGCGGGTGACAGCATTGATTGAGCAGTCTCATTTAGGCTCTTTTTCTGGTCGCGGGGTGCTTAATCTGGAACGGAGGGCCACGGTCAAAAGGGAGAATTTTTCGGCGGGGATCTGATGGGGCACCCCGGCCGAGTTGACTAGGGTATATCAGGGCGGCTGCTATTCCGACGACGATGGTTTCTCCGCAAATTGAACAGAACCAGACTTTTCAGCTCTTTGGGTGCCAGGGAAAGTCGTCCACGTGCTTCTTAACAGCGGCTGAATCGGCATAGCGGCACCGGGGGTCGCCAAGGGTAAGATCTCCCGGAACCTGGGGAAGCTATCATTCTTAACCAGATGAAGTTGGTGATGTTACCATACGACTTTTCGTCCCGGCTAAATAAGAAAGCTTGAACGCCAGCGATCACTGACGCGCTGAAGTTGGCACTAGTTCAGACTACACATGGCCGGGGAAAGGGAGCGCTCAGGGGCTTGAGATCATGTCTGGGCGCTGACTCATCTCATTTTCACAACTAACTCACATCAGTCGCGTCTCATTGATTTCACAAAAACTCAATCTCACTTCACGAACCCAATGGGTGAGTGAGGCGCATCCTCGCGAACATTCATACACCTTAGGCAATCTCAGTAATCAAGAAGTTGAGCTGAAGGTAGTGAGCGCTCACGCGCCTACAAGAAGCCAGCCAATCAACGATGATGACTCAAGTGAAGCGAAACCAGCTGATCACTGGCGCCCTTCGCGTGTCAAACCTGAACAACCATCACAACATCCTTCAAAGTTGATGTTGGGGTTCTGACTAGCTTTCATTTCCATGGGTTAAAATCCATCTTACTCACAGCCGAGACCATATTATCAGGAAACCGGCAACACAACAATTCCAACATCATCCAGTCAGTCATCATCAAGCGTCTTCTGCTCAAAATGGACGTGGAATGTCAATGCGGCACAGTTACATTCAAGACTCCAGCACCTGAGCCCCTCGATATCTACTGCTGCCACTGCTCGCAATGCCGCAAGCAATCTGCTTCAGCATTTGGTACCTCGGCAATCTTCCCCGCTGATGGCCTCTTCCCGCTCTCGGATGATCTTGAGTCGAAGCTCCAGGTCTGGACTCGTCCCACAAAGAGCGGCGGGCACATGGACTGCTTTTTCTGCCGGCTATGCGGGAGCCGGGTCTTTCATCGCACTTACGATGAGAATGGAGTACCCAAAACAACAGTCAGCATCAAAGGGGGACTGATCTTGGGACTCAAGATGGACAGGGGAAAGCATATCTGGACGAGCAGCGCGGTCGTGAGAATTCCTGACGATGCAGAGAGGTACAAAGAATCACCGCCTGCGACGCCCGACAGTGGCAAGGATTGAAAGGCTCTGAAGGCCTCAAAGTGAGCAAATACATCTGCAATCCTCGTTTGGCTGTTGAATAAACTCATCTCTTCGGGCAGGGTATGTTTACATCCCGAATTTAGGTGCTCATGCTCCGACTTGCTACCTTAGTGTCTTCGTGTTGTCGGCTGGAGTAAATTGGATGTAACACCGACTAGACGGTGTGTGATATTGACATTTCACGGTCCTACTAGGTAGTTTGATGCTTATCTAAATTTTCTTCGATGGACATCTGGGTCTTCCCTCCATTGCGACCTCCAGAGCACCTTAGCAATTCGATGGTAAGCAAAAAGGCAATGTGATACTTCTGGCCATGGGTCATCGTCTTTTAACAAACTATCTTTTCAACTACAAATAGATGTCATCTCACAGATACACGGTTTGATCATAGACAACAACGAATTATATCAAACCGACATTGCTCTCCATCCAAATCTCGGGGCAAAACTTCGAAGGGGCGCAAAGATTGAGAGTAACGTACTGACGCAATCTAACAGTTGCGGAAACGACTTCCTTTGGCGACGGTTAAAGGCCTTTCTAGCCACACACTAGGGCGATATCAGCGCAATAGACATACGAAATTGCTTGCAAAGCACCGTAGGCAGAAGTGAACGAAGTTTAAATCTCTATTTTTAGTACAATTAACAGCTTGACTAATAGGCAACCAAATGACTAACGCTACCACAAGCGGCAAGCGGACAACTGCTACTCCAGCCGCATCCGTGGCTAGAGACCGAAGCAACATCAACGAAGATAGCTATGCCATGTCGCCTATCGGGGTGAGAATGCAGACGAAGGCTTCCTGGCAGCGAGAGGGTAATGTCAGAGTGCAGAAAACGGAGATTCTGAGAAAGATATACGCCCCTTGGCCACGCAGGATGAGGCGACGAGATGATGGATAGTATAGTGCTGATTACGGAGTCCACTTCTCCGTTTCCCACTGAGGGAAAGCGGGAGTAGCAGGCGTGTCGGAACAACCCGATACGAATTGTACGCCGGGCGGCAGTGGCATGTTGAGGCTACCGGGACCGCCAGAGTTGAGGAACAATGCGCGAAAAGGCACGTATATCTCAGAGTCACGTACAAGGACGTTTGCAGCAGTCACCCTAGCTCGACGGGAGTAGTCTGCCGTGATCTGACCGGCACTGGCACCGTAAGCTCCGGGCACAGTTGACGAGAATGTACCATAAAACCAAACAAACCCGAAATCATCAGGCACATCGATTGTCAGAAACCAGATCTTTGCTTCGTTGAACTTTAGGTAGCCTCGGTGTTGGATCAAATCACACGAATTGCTCCACGTCGTGTTCGCCGGGCCACGTACTCCATAGATGTTTGTGGGACCTGTTTCGTCACTCGGGCTCGTCCTCCATGAGACGAGCGGAGTAAAGCCTGTGCCAAGAGGAGTTCTGCCTTGCATGACTGTAGTCAAGTTCAGATCTCTTGCGCTTTTGGTCGAATCAGAGTACACGCGCAGGAGCTCTTGACAAGGCTCGGAAGTTCGAGGAAAGACGTAGGCGGCGAACTCGACGCCAGGTGTACATATGGGCGTAGCAGATGTGCTTGAGCTGCTGAGCGAAGAACTTGAGCTGGAGGTCGTTGACGAGGTTGGAGTTATGATGGATGAGCTGGAGGACAGACTGGTTGTGAGCGAGGACGAGATGCTTGAAGAAGCGTCGAAAATGCTCGCCGAAATTGTTGATGCCTCAACACTTGTCGAATTTGAGAAGCGTGCCGAGGTGGAAGATGTTGAGTCTGTCCTTGTGGAAGTCTGAGTGAAGAAGGTTGTGGTTGATGGCGGTGAGGGCGATAACGAGGGCGATAATGAGGCCGCTGGAGACGGCGAAGACAACATGGATGACGAGAATGATGGAGATAATGAAGGCGATGACAATGTTAGAGGAATCGGTGATGGAAGGATATGAGTTTCAGGATCGCGTGTCGGTAATGTTATGAATGATAAGATACTTGGACCAGAATTCGATGATATGAGCGACTCGGAGACGCTAGAAACTGTTGACATAGTGCGGGAAAATATAGAAGTGTCTTGCAATAAGCCGCTTGTAACACTTGCGGTAGAACGACTTGTGGTGCTGGTCAAGACTTCCAACGAAGTTGCACTTGCTGTAGTCGATGTCGAGGTACTCTGACTAGGCAAGCCGGGAAGTTGTATTTGGCCGTTTTGACACAAGTCGACTGTCCCATGTGAATATCAGCTTCGGCATCGTTAGGGTGGAAAAGCTAAAGTTATTGGTGAACCTTACCTCCATATGCTAAGAGAGAAACTGGATCACAATCAGGCGGTCGGGACGTAAAGGTGACATGGACCTGTCCAGTAGCATCTTGACAGAAGCTTGCCTGACTATCAGGGAGAGATGGATGGTAGAATCGAAGAACCCCATCAAAGACGTCGAATGTTGTTGTAATGGCGTTGTTCGGTCGCGTCCCCATAGCATTGAGAGGTTTATGGCTATCACCTGGAGAGTAATACACTGGTACGCCGCCATCTAGTAATTCGCCAGCGACCAAGGAAAACACGGTTGCGGTGTTGCATAGCTGACGATCTGCGTTGGTGTTGTGGTTCACGAAACCACCCATCACCCTCTTCTTCAGGTTTCGTCTCACAGTCGAAGTTGAGCCTGGAGCAACGAAGAAGATCACAGTCTCAGCAGCTTGCGCGGATATCGACGTAGATGATCCGGAGCTAGTAGCAGTGGGCGAGGCGAGTCTGCTGGAGGTCAGACTGGCGGAAGAAGTTGTGGTGAGTGAAGTCAACGAAGTATCAGATGCGGCAACCGACAACGAAGACAGTTGTAGAGACGAAGTGGATATTGTCAACGGGGTCGTTTCCGGCGCACCAATCTGTTCCGTAGCCGGGAGGGAGGTGCCGAGAGAAAAGCTCGGCGTTGCGGAAGCCCCAAGTGTAGGATTTGTGGAAAGCCCAATGGTTGTTCCCGTTGACAAAGGTGCGTTGGCGATTGAAGTTGAGTTCAGTGCCGTCTCCAGTCCTGTTGAGCCAGCAGCTATACTAGTAGGCTCCAGGTAAGTCGATAGGTAAGTGAAGCACCATGTTGCTGGCAAGCCATTCTCATGGTCAAAGGATGGTTCAGACGCTGAGATGGTTTGCGTAAGGCAAAGCAAGCTGAGTATAGACCGAGGCTTCATGATGGCGATTGAGATAATGTTGATTACTAACTCACATGACAGTAAGGGCTCCTCGATATAGCAGAAAATATACGACATGATTCCCAGATACATATATGTCAAGGTTCAGCGCCGGGGAGCAAAAGGTCGCTCGTAATTGAAGCAATCAACACCAAGAGAAGATACTCCACAATATTACAATGAGACATCAAATCTCATTTTCGCGGGACAGAAAGCTCTTATTTCAACGAGACATCAAGCCTCAGTGTTAGACAATGAACTAATTGTAATTGGTAAAAGCATGAGTCGGAACGCTGTGAAACGTGAGGTGCGATTTAGGTATGTAGCTAGACCGAAAATAGTCTCACACAACGCCGCAATACCAGGCCTGGGCGGCCGACGTCCCGACATCATGGTTGAGTCTGATATGTCCATTGAAACAAAATTCCATACTTCAGCTAGCCACTGGGCGGCTCCCACATTGTTACAGCTCAAAAGCTGTCAGAACTTCCGCATGTGTACTCAGTGATATTAAATAGTAAGACACACACACTTGTTCCTAAGCTCGCTTCTAAATGCTTCTTCCAACCGAGTCTGGCAAGTCTGTTGGCCACATACCCTCCTACTACAACCATAAACATAAAACGTTCTTATTTCTCGATATAAACTGTACTCGAATACATTCATTCAGCAACCAAGGACGAATCGCTCCGTTACGTTCTTCACCGTTATTACTGTCATCAACATCACGGTAATGGAAGTCTCTTCCCAATCGACTCTCCTTGCGTGTCGTACTGCGACCATTGTCCAGTGCTTCACCAAGCAGCCATTCGCTCCGTTATGCGGCAGCTGCATGGCGACTCCCGTTGTCCGCTTGCCAGCCGCCACGGGACAGCCCATCACCGTTCAACTACAGGCCCCAAATTGCAACAAATGCGGATGCGATACTTGCGTGCACACAATCTCCTACACTACCGAATACGATACTTTCTGTTCCACGGGCCTCGCTAAGCAGGTGTATGCTGTCACAGAGACATATCGTGGGATGCCCTCGAAACCTACGGTGACGTCTGCGGATATCCCCTTCGGTTTTACCGCAGAAGTCCAGACCTGCACAACGTGTGGTCCAACCCCCGTCGTGGCAACAATCACACGCCCAGTGTCGGAGGTGGTGCAGGATGTCAGGGCGTCCGCGGTTATCACCATACCTGCTGGCATAGATCCTCAATACTCCCTGTTCAGCATGGCCGACTTCCCGAGCGCAGCATCACCATCCGAATCTACACGAGTCACTGCTGCCCAAGACCCTCAAGGATTGGTTTTGCAATCCGGCTCGGCTCCCGGCGAGACTCTGCCTCTGAGAAAAGACACGTCACTAACGGCGAGCCTTCACGGCACAGTGACGGCGCACGAATCGAACCCAGAACAGATCCCAACTCTGGGATCGCTCAATTCGGGTGTAGTTCTTCCGCTGCCAACTACTACTTCACGTGAGTATTCACTTTGCTGTCAATTTCTGGTCAAGAAACTAACAGGCAGCTTCACTAGTTCCCATTACCAATACAGTGAGCGGCTCTACCAGGCAGTACGGCCCAGCCGCCAGTTATAAGTGTGTGATAGCTGCTGGGCTGGTCCTCATGACTGCTTTGATGGGATGAGGCATATACATCTTCTGAACACAGTCTGAGTCTTTGGCCAGTCTCTAGTTCTGGGTGAGCCATATTGTTCCAAAGAGGTGATCCAAGCAGAGAGACAGCTTGTACGTACGTGGAGGTCTAGGTGTAGAATCGGTAAACTCTGCTATGAAGATCTCTGATCACGCTGTCAGCCTATTGTGCCTCGACAGCTTTGAACCATGCTCCATAATTGAATGCTCATATCCCTGGGAAAAATAAAGAGCTATTGCAAATTCCATCGCTCCCTGTCCAGCATACTCAAGGCGCTGCGCTAACAAATTGGCTCTTGCCAGCTGATGACCTGGAACGCAAAGTTTTCAGACTAACCCCTTGCAGTGATCAACTCACAGAGTTCGTTGCGTGCTGTAAGACAAGCTTTCATATATGCAATGATGAGGCTGAGACCACGGGTACTTTTCCCGATCGTTCCACCGTAAATTGAACGTTGCACATCCCTTAGATTTTGGCAAGGTATGGATGCTATCAACGAATGTCACTGTCGCAGAAATGCTTTGCTGTGTTCTTCTAGCGTTGTGGAATATTACTTCCAAGCGTGTCGATACAGTGAAGACCTCTGGTTGTCATTCAATCTGCACCTGAAGTTTGTAACTTATAAATACATGAAAGCTCAACATTGTACAGGAGAATGAGAAGGACTTTGTACACTTCATGACCCCCCAAATGATGGCCACTGGTATTCCCCGGGGATCACACTGGGTGACTCATGATAGTTTGCCTGCGAGGAAGGTCTGGGCATACCTCTTTAGGCGCGACGAGACTGCGAGCGCTGACCAATGCTGCGCTTGGCGCTCATCATCTTGACACTCTCATCGTAATCGGATGTGCCATTATTGGGATCGGCGTCCTTCTGTATTGGTATCAACCCTGCTCTCTTTCCATCATTGGGTCAAGAGAATTACTTACCGCGTTCTCGGCGCCGCACTTGGAACCAGCATTGTACTTTCCATCAGGCCCATCGACACCCGCAAAGTCTCGCTTGCTGTTCGCCTTGAGCATATTGGTAGCAGCCTCGGGCAACCACCCGTTGATAAAGTCGCCGTGCGAGCAGAACGAGTTACCGCACGCAAGCTCAAAAGGCGGCGTGCCGTTCCATCCGTCTGGAAGTACCTTGCGCAGATCGTAGCGGATCGAGAACCGAAGCTGCGGCTGGCGCTTCATGCCTTCGGGGCACCGGTTGGCGGGCTTGAAGCCGTCCTTCCAGTTCTGGGTGCCCGAGTAGGCCGACTCGAGAGTCTGCTCGTTGACGCAGTCGTGGAAGAGGAGGAGAGTCTGTAGGTGCGTGGAGCACGTCTTTGTGGGCCACGCCGCGACCTCTTTGCCCTCTTCGGTGGGATCGCCCTCACAGAACCATTGGATGCCGGCGAGGTCCTCGACGTCGGCTTGTGTGGTTCCTTTGGAGTTTCCGGCAACGGTTTTGTAGTTTTGGGGGATGGCGACCTCAGCGCTTTCGATGGCGACGTAGTAGGCGCTGAAGCGAGAGAAGGGGACTGGGGTCATGCCGGTGTCATTCTTGACGTACAGAGTTGGGACCCCTTTAGAGTTTAAGTCAGCAAGAGATCTTCTTGAAATTGGGGAAATGGCTGTGGTTCAAGAGAACCTAGGATTGGGCTTCAGCTTACAGTAAGAAGAGTAGTCATTGGGGTTCTCGGCAGTTGAGCAACCTGCTTGGAGCTCGGCAGAGGTGTTCGTGTTTAGGGTGACGGCGTCGGAACCAAAGAAGGTGTGCATGTGGCTCTTGTACTGGCCCGGGATGACGACGGGATCGATGTTTTTGCGCATGAAGGGCTCGGCCACGGCAATGGTGTATGCATTGGCGATGCCAGCACCGGCAAGCAAAAGTGAAGTAGTAGGAAGCATCTTGAAGTGGTTTACAGGGAGTGCGAAGAGAAGTGGAATGAAACGAACGAATATCACCAAACCTGTCAAGGAGAGAGACTCGGGATTGGGACTGGATGAGGGAAGGACAAGCTCACACTGACAGACCCAATAAGCCTTCTCTCCAAGAAGGCCATCGGCGTTTCTTTAGTATCTACAACCTTTACTCCCCTGAGCCGCCCGATCTCAACGTTTGTTTGTCCCATCACTGCCGCCTCCGCCACCCCAGCAGGTCCGCCATGCATCCCGTGAGCTGTCAATCCCAGCGAGCTGTATCTTTGCAAGGATGAAGATGCACCTATTCTGCGGGCCTGGGCAGCTGAAACGCCGTGACCGGCTGGGCGGCGCACTTCCAAAGCCTTCAGCGAATTGAAGTGCCACCTGAATGCGGTAGCGCGCTTGGGATGGGAACGGTACAGGCGCCGCACGCCCATGACTTTAATTTCGATTCGAAACGTGCTTGACAGGGTGACAGGGACGCAGATTTTGTCCCAGGCCTTGTTAGTACCCATGAGGGCCAACGATAGAGGCCTACGGATTGCACGGAGCTATCCACCAGACTGGTTTGCATCAACGGACAAAGTAGAGCGGCCTGTCGGACATTCTACGCCTTATCAAGTCTGTTAAATGGTGAATGCGAAATGTATGTACAGTGTACAGCTCAGATGTGGCAGGTAACCTTGCTTCTACTATCGCCCACTTTGATTTCTAGACTCCAACCGATGCAATTTACTGCTGACACCGGCACCTGTCAAATTGGTCGGACCTCGTTCGTGCCCCTGACCTCGAAACCAGAGTGACTGGCTCTATAAGGCTCTATAGAGTTTAAAAGGTAAGGTAGAGAAGGCTTAGGACGGAAGACAACGTTGAGTATTGGCATTTGTTTCCACGGCGCACAACTATCAACCTTTGTCTCTGAAGGAACTCATGATGCATGAAGCGAAATGCATGAAGTACTTCGCAGTTCGCTCTCGCTCTCTTAAAGGAGCCGGCAATCTTAAAATTGGCAGCCACAAGGCAAGGGAGTCCCCCCTGTACGCGGAGAGAAGCCGTGTTAACCCCTCCATCCATCCCCTGTAATCTCCACTGTATGGGTGCACGGAGAACTGCATCGCACATTCTAAAGCTGCGACGTTCTGCCCGCTGGTTTTTTTCGTGATCTTAACAGGAATTGATATACGCTAGGTCATATTTTAGCCTTCATTGGCACACGAAATATGTTACATTTTTACACAGTCTTCTCATGGTATAGCCGCCAAGCTGTCTGATGTAAGTGAGAAAGTCCATAGTTCACAAAAAATACTCAGCACCTGTATTTCTTCCCAGAATTCCAAGTTGGGCCGTCCCAATCTGGCTGAGAAGGCCACAGAACCCTACATGTAGTGCGTTCGGGCAAGACTATGTGCGAAGCGAATGCCGCCCATAGTATCTATCATCCAATCACTTACCGCTCAATGGCAACTACTAAGGTAGTCGATTGCATAGATGCCAGATGAACAAGAATTCCTCTCTTGCTCTCTTTTGTGGGAGATCCAGGAATCGGCCAATCTGTCTGAAGTTTGACAGGTCTCCATCCACGTCAATCCAACGCAAGGTCAACCTAGTCGGTGTACTGCATGACGTAGATCTCGATTCAAAAGCGTGATTTCCGAACCTACATCGACATCGTTAAGCCCTCCACGAGCAGAGTTCAATAATTCTGGCTCCCGGGGACCATCTCCAGCTACTACCAGAATGCTTGCCAAATCACTTCCGATTCTGCAAAACTACCAAGAACACATGGCCACTTTCAAGTACCTTAAATAGATGCACAAGACAATGCCGACATTTGTTAGGATTTAATACAGCGCCTTATCTATCCACACTGGTAAACAGGCGTTTCTGTGTTCCAGTACGCGTACAAGTTCTTGTTCCCCTTCCGATCAATTTTACCCTGCCGGCGCCGTTCCTCCTTCTGCACCTTTTCCTCATTCCTGTACTGCACCGCCAGCAGCGATCGCTGCTCCGATGCAGATAAGTGCATCAGTGCACTTCGATCATTCGCCCTCATGTTTGCTAGCTGATGCGCGATCACCGCCTTCTCTCGCTTTTCTCTTTTAGACAGTGCTTGTGTCCGACCAGGATGCAGCGGGTCCTCGCTGGACTCCTCTTCTTCAGATTCTACCTGGACATATTCTAGTCGTGAAGGTGGGGTCCGCATTCGGCGCCTTAGGTGATTGATAGACAGTCCCGTCTGGTCCGAGGACCGCTTGGATATGATCTTGCCTGATGGCAACCGAAGAGAGTCTTCATCGACCTGTAACGGCTGTCGACTTGGGCTTGCCGGCTCGTGCTGCACATCGCACTCGTCTTTGTCGCTCTCAAAGTCACTCCCTTCGTTGCCTTCGGTCTCGGAGAAAGTGAAGTCGTAAAAGTCGGCAAATTCGGAGTCTTGGTTTGCTGGGTCAAACCTGCAGTGACCTTTGCCGACCATGTGTTGCTGTACAGCTTGTACCGTTGTCCTCTTTGTCCCGCAATGTAGACATTCCCGATAATCGAATATGACTAGGCGCAGGTACTTGAAGAGAGTTTCCAGGTCGACGAGTAGATTTTGCTGATGTGGAATAAACAGGCCGTGTGACTTTTGCATGTGGGCTACACTGGCAGGGAAGTCTGCTGAGAGATTGGGGCAGAATAGGCATTGCCCAGGAATGAATTGTTGCATGCCCGCGCTGTGAGAGTCAATTGACTCTTTCGGGGAAAGTGGTATGTTGTTGTTGTTGTTCTGATTTGAGAGCGAGTCCATCGAATTCCGAAGTAGCGCAGTTGTTGCTGTGTTCGTTGCTGTTGTTGTTGCACCCGGCATTGATAAGTGGTCGTTTGAGTGGAATTAGCTTCTGGCTGGTCTTAGTTGAAAGAGGGGACGGAACTGGATCCCGATGTTGTATCTAAAATTGAAGTTGTCTTTTCGATTGAATTGATGGAATGGAATAAGCTCCATTCGGATGATTCCCATATCTATATAATTACTTGCATTCACATAAACAAACTAGGCGGCGTTCCGAACATCCACGGCTTCTCAACACCGTGGTCGATGGCCCAGAAGTCCGAGCCGCAGGACCAAGCCCCTTCAGACCAAGGATGTACGCCATGATTGAGACGGCCCAGTATAACTGGAAGAGTCCGCCAATGAACTCTTAGTATCATGGTGACGAGGTATGATTCATAATGAACGATACAGCCACTTTCGGTGTTCTACCAATGAGCTGCTAGGTGACTCACCACAATAATGAGACAGGCAAGAATGTCAAAGACCCTGAAACGGCTCTTTCTCTTTTCTATTATTCTGACTTAGATCTCGACTGAGCAATATCATCAGGAGATTGGCTCATTAAGAGCCGCGATTGGCCGAGAATAGCCGAGAGTCTTATCTAGCAAAAGCCACGCATAAACACCAATGCAGTCACAGGTTCAGAGGTGCGGCTCAAGGAATCAGTGTATGTGGCATTGAATACATTCATTTGCTCTATTTGATTGTCTCTTTGATGTAATTGAAACAGCAGAGTGGTCTAATCATCGGCCACATTGGCCAGCGACAATCTGGCTAGACAACTCATTGGGCGGGATTTCCAACCCACATCGACCGTCTGCAGAGCAAGTTCCCTTGAATGTCCCGTCAGTGCAGGCCTGGCCTGCAACGCCGCCACCCTTCTTCTGGGGAGCTGTCGATATCTATATTAGCATGCAAGTGCAGATGGACGTCTTGGCGCTGAAAGCTTTAAGAAGTACGCACTTGCATGGACAGACGCTGTAAGCCCCAAGATCAAGAGAGCGGCGTTTACGGAGAACTTCATATTCGACAGGAATTGCTCAAGTCAATGACGAGAATTCTGCTTTGCTTCGAAATTGAATCGATGATTGAACAGTAGATTAGTAAAGTTGTGAGGAGTAGAACGAATGAGGAAAGAGATAGGAATTTTGAGCCAGAAGATGCGAAACCAACGCGAATGACTTGCGTGATAAGTCAGAATGGTTAAAGAGTTGTTGTTCTAGACAGCTTGAATCCTCAGGATATTCGTCGCTATTTAAGCATGAGGTAGATTTACCAACAAGATCATCACTTGCTTTATTTGACTCTGTAGGGAAGATTTTCTTTCGTCTTCGAGATCTTCATTTGCCCATTCGCTTTCGGTTCCCATGGATATGGCTTCGCTTACAGCGACTTGCAACGTCGCAAGTTTGGATGGCATCCTCGTTGACACCACTCTATCTTTCGGATGAAACTTTACTCACGTCTATTGAGTCAGCCATCTCAAATAATCGACTCTTGAATGTACCTGTCTAACCAGGGAATTGGAACCAACCGCGTCTGATCGACATTTGAGAAGCGAAACAGTACAGCGATAGAAGCTTAGTATTGAGGTTTCTAGAAGACTTCGATTGAGGTAATTTCCACCGCAATCCCCCATGAAGAATTCTATGGAGTTTTCACGCTTCATTCTCCTAGAACGACAGTTTGTGAGACTTTTCTTGACAGTAGTATCCACCGAGCATGTCGTTTTGAATTCCGAGCGTTCCAAAATGCGGCAGCGATATGTCTTCCGCTACCTAAGCACTCATTCTATTCCTACAAGACGCCGCAAGTCTTTCCAATACGCTCAGGTGCCACTGAAACTCCCTCACGCTAATGCTGAATCGCCGCAAGTTCCGCGTTCCTACAAACATTGCACTCTCGATATCTTCCGGCAGGATTTCTTTGAAGACGGGGCACATTGTCGCCACTCGGAGGATGGTAACCATGGTAAAGGTCCTAAGGAGATGTCAGAAATGAGCCTCTACAGTAGTGGTGCTCTGTAGCCTAAGGCTTCGCACTTACACCATTCCGGCAGCAAATAGGCCAGTAATGCTGTTGGCAGGATCAATGTCGAAAACATTGATGAAACCCTTGCAACCCTCAAGGCACATTCGGCACCGCTCCAATATCGCCTCCCGGCACGGATGCGTCTCGAAGTGCGCCATGTTCAACATCACGTATTCGATGAAAGGGCGATGAATGATGTACTGCCCCGCATAGTACCGCCCCTTGAGCCTCAGCACGTTCCACGGATTGTTGCCCAACTCTTCAACTTGAATGATACCGGGCGTCATAGGAGAAGTCGCAATTTCCGGCTGTTGCCCAGGCGTTCTTCTAGGCTGGCTCGTGAGCAGGAAATCGGGGAGATTGCGGTAAAGCGCACCGTGATACGACCAAAGATCCTCGGTGATCCGCAGTAGCCAGTTGGCGTAGTTGGTGCGCGTCATGCGAAACTGGTCTTTGCTATCAAAGACGACGCTGTTAACCCGGTTGAGAAACCGCCTGATTGCCGCGTTGGTACTGATTTGGAAGGCGACAAGTTCCTCGGTCCTGTAGAAAGACGTCGATGACGGACTCGTCACATCGGCTTCCGGGGTCGCCTGGTTGATGGTGAATTCTTTGTGCTGCTTGGGGTTTTCGGGGGCCGGGTAGGGTACGACTTCTTCGTATCTCGCTATACCTGAGGGTAATGTGATTGAGATCTCGGACACAAAGTCACCTTCGTAAATCAGTGCGACCCAAAAGAGTCTACGGAAGGCGTCCGAGAATCCATCATTGCCTTCTGCGCCTGTGGCATCTCTGTTTCTTGTTTTAGTAACCGAGTGCTTGCAGGCGGGACTTGCGAGCTTCTCAAGATAAGTACCTTTTCGCGAGCGCTTCACACTTGACGGCGGTTGCATGTGCCCAGTGGAAAGAATCTGCTACTCTTCCGTTCGCATTCATATATAAGCTGCAAGCCGTCAGTTCAGGTAGAACAATGCTAAGTATACAAGCATGAGCCTGACCTCGCCAACATCGTGCATTGTGCTGCTTCAAGGCTGATTTCAGATGAAATGAAGCCCAGCAAAAGTCGCGCTTTTCGCCACAGCTGCTCATCGATGCCCGGAAAGTCTCCAATGATGCTCGAGCTTATGGGTCTTTGGCGTTGACCTCCATCTCGGCCTGCTCTTTCATCCAATGAAATGCGATAGTCCCCAGTGTAGACGAAGGATCCCATGCAGAGGACCAACAGCAATAAACAGTACCGGGCCGGCGCAGTAAGGTGCGAGACCGCACTTGCAGTCTTTTCAGACGCTACTACTTCATTCAAAGTGTCGATGATGTCCTCCGGGGAGAGGAGAGGAAAGAAGATGTTCACTTCGGCAAAGTACTCATGGATCACCTCTCGATACCGATTAGCGGCATCGATGGAGACTGGCAGACTCCGGTCTTGGAATAATCTCCAAGACTCTGGAGGGCACATCGAAGAATCTGTACCTGTATCTTTGCGGAAAAAGATGTCAGTTGCTTCCGCTGAGCGCAGTCCTCCCGGAAAAGCTGGCCGCGGCGGTTGTGACTCCGAGTCCGTTTCTGATAGCAGCTGCTTTACTATCGGCCACTCAAAGACATGGTTCGCATTCGCTGTATGGGATAAAGGGATTGGAATTTGAGCATCTGCATCAGAATTCCTTGTCTGAACCGCGTCTGTTTGGTTCCTCGTTGACGTTGAGTCAGGACCTGCCTCGGGCTGTGTATGGTGTGCCGATCGCGGAGTTGTAGCATGCCGTGTAGCTTGTGGTGATGGCGTATCTAAAGACGGTTGGGAAGCTTGCTGGCTCTGCGGTTGCTGTTGTCCAGAAAATACTGGTGAAGAAAGCAGGCGATCTTCCAACATCTGGATGCGCTCCAACAAGATCCTAGTATTCTGCTCGATGCGCGGCTGGTTCGAGTCGCGGTAGACGCACTCCACGTTCTGCGTCACGCAGAGACTGCACTTTGGCTTGGCAGCGTCGCATCGCGTCTTGCGGGCCCGGCAGTTGGTGCATGCCTGCCATACACGGCGTCGTGCCGGAAAGTAATGGGCAGCAGAGAAGGAGGAAGACGGCGCGGAGTCATCCATGATCGGCCGCCCATCGGCATCGGGAGCACAAGGGTACGGGAGTGAGTTGTGCGATTTGCGGAGATGGAACTGGAAAATCCACTGGAGAAAAGGGGAATTCTTTGGCGGATTTAACTGGCTGAGGCCCACGCTTCAAGTTACTTCAGGGGACATTACGTGGGGAACTTCCCCGCTACTCCCCGGCCGTCCTAGTGCCGCGCGGCGCCGGGATCTTGCTGGTCTGTCCGTGATGTTCGGCCTGAGGGCCGAGTGCTCGTGGCTTGTTCAGATTCATCCAGCAACTATAGACTACGGGACTGCTTAGGAAACACAAGTTTGTGGGAAGCCCAGATGACGTATGGCGGACTACCTTAAATAAAGGACTATGTCCCATATAGCAAGAAAGTCGCCTGAGAAGCTGTAGAATCCGATCAAGGCCAAGCATAGCGAAGGGTATGACGGTCAATCCTTCCTTGACTCAAATCGGTGTAGTACATATTGCAAGTGAATCGAAAAGAGTTGAACCCGTAGTCATCATTCTATGAAACCCAAATAACGCCAGTGTATGCAACCCACTCAGCCTCATCATGATGTCGAGGCTAATGAAAGTTTCGAAGCTATGAAACAACAGCAACTGGAGTTAGACTGGCCTGAGCAAGATGCTTCTTCTTTTCATCAGGTGCCAGCTCAAATACGCCAACACCAGATACAGTTTCTTTAGGCTTTTCTTGTTCCTTCTCAACCTCTGAGGGAATCACCTTGCCCTCCAACCTCTTGTCCCCAGGCGTCATGGGCGCGTAGAGGCTCAACAAATCATTCAGCCTCTCTCGCTGAATGCAGTTTTCGTACTTCCAGCTGGCAGCAAGCTCATCCAGCTCTTCAAACGTCTTGTCCTTGAAGTAATCGGCCCATTCGGGGATCATGTACTCCGTCATGGTGATGCCGCGGATGCCGCGGAACACGTGCATGTGCATGCGCCACTGCCACGGGTACTTCTTGTTGTATTGTGCGGGGACGTTGTCTTCGAACCACTTGTGTAGGGGGCCAAAGAGGTTGGGCTGGAGGTGTGCGTCGTCGTAGGCCCAGCTGTCGACGGCGAGGTCGCGCTTCTTGCGGATCATGGGGCCGAGGAGCTTCAGCCAGGCGGAGTCGGGGGAGAGGTAGGTCATGCCCATGACGTTTACGTCTTTGTAGGCCCAGATACTCCATGCTGCGGATGGAGCTGTGAGCGAATGTTCAAAGGTCTCGTGTCACAAGTTGTCTTACCAATACCCTCGTCGGTATAAATTGCCATTTGCTTGTCCAGCATCTTGTATCGTTCCTCGTTGTGCTCTTCGAAGTCTGGGTTGTACTCCTTTCGTTCATAAATTGGACCGAATTCGCCTGCGCCTCAACGGTTAGCGATTTGTCTATTCATACCTCAAGGTGTTCGTACCATTCCAAATTGGCACGTTGTGCTCTTTCATGAAAGCAACCTTGCGGTCGTACATCTGGCGGATATAGGCATCCTGATCTGCCAGACCTTGGTATCTACCAATACGGTTGGGAAAGCTGAATCCACAGTAATCGTGCACCGCATAGACAGAGTTATCGAACACTTTTGCGAAGCCAGAAAAGTCCATGCTAAACGTGTTGCCCTCGAGCCAGAGAATGTGTTCGGGATCAATGTCGCGAATGGCGGGGACGATGCGATCGTAGAAGGCGAGAAGGCGAGTCCACTCGACGTCGGCGGGTTCGTTGAGAGGGTTGTATCCTGCGATCCACGGGTTTCCCTTGTATCGCTTCGCTATCACCTGCCAAAGGTTGATAACTCTGTCTTGGAAATGCTTGTGGTCCCAGAACGCGGCGTATCCGGTCGGGTTATCTGAGTGCCAATCTTGGTTCTGGCCACCAGGAGCGGAGTGGAGGTCGAGAATTGTGTAGATCTTGTACTTGGCGCACTACAAGAAGAAACATTAGTCGGGTAGAAGACTCTGAGTAACGTTGGAGGAACCTACGATCTCAATTGCGCGATCAAGATGCTTGAAGCCTTCCTCTTTGATCACAAAGGGGTTCATGTCATCTTCGAAGTGGTGGTAGTTGAAAGACAGGCGGATGCAGTTGAAGCCAATCGAGGCGAGGAATTCGGCGTCTTTCTCGGTGAAGAAGTATTCGAGGAACTTGTCAAAGAAGAAATCGCACTTCTCCTTGCCGAGCACCTTCAGCAGTGCTCCACGAATCTGGTGCTCACGACCGGGGAAGCCGTTCATGAAGTTCTCCATCAGCATCCAGCCACCGAGGGCGGTCTGTATCGCGATAGGCAGTCAGCAATGGGCCTTCGGACAGTTGCATTCTGGATATAAAGTGGTAGACACTTACGCCGCGGAGAAGGACAGGCTTGCCCTCAGCATCGACAATGCTGGAGCCGGACGTTCTGAGGATTCCGTTTGACATTGCTGCAATCAGATTGAATCAAAATGAGCGAGGATGGCAGAATCAAGGGACAGGGACCAACCGACCCCAACGGCAAGTCCAGCTCCTAAATAGGACTCTTCGCATACGCGCAACGGTTCCAAGCCAGAGCTTCGTACGATCCGTCACTCTCATTGCGGAGTCTTTGCATTAGGCCCACACAACAGGCCCCATGACGTCCCATTATCTCTGAGTAAAGCATAGGCTGACCGAACTCGTACATACGCGCCGCCGAAGGCCAACACGCGACTTAGAGTCCCCCGCGTTGGACCTTCGGGGCAGACTTCGACGCTTCCCCGACCCCACGTTCCCACGTTCCCAAACTCGGGGGAATCATTTGGATGCCCCGCATAGCTTAGACGACGGACGACATCAGCCGCAGGACTCAAAGGACGCTAGGGGGAAGGTTTTGGATGCCCCGATGGCGCCGAGACCAGATCGGGGGAAGCATCTAGTTCCCCCGAAGGTTCATGATTCGTCAATCTTGTGGAAAAGAGGAGCCAGGGATCCCATACGTACTCCACACTATCGTCGGCCGACGCTACACAACTGGTGTTGTTCTCACACGGTTTTGCTGCCCTTCGTTCTACGGAAACAATCGGACGAGTCAGGCGAGCTTGACTTCATCCGCAACTTCTAATGGTTCGTTTCCCCATGGAGACTCGTCCAGACAGCTTCATCTCGTGATGCCCCGGATGTGGGGACCAAGTTTGCTTTTACCCCAGCCCCCGGATCTTCTCCGCATCCCATCATCCGACTTGCCAAACCCTCGTCTTTGTGCCGATAGTTCCCAAGTCCTCTTCGGCAGGCAGAGCCTTTGCGTCCCAAGCGTACGGTTCTGCTAACATTGTCGTGTGTGAGTGTGAAGGACTAGCTTTCCGCGCCAATGGTAATATCGCTCGATCGGAATACTTCTCCTCCTAAGCCCATCTGCCGACTTCGTAACGCCGTCACCTAGCAAGACTGCTTGAGACCAATCCAGCGAGCAAAACCTGGCAAAGTCTCGAAGCGTTCCAGAAGAGTTGTTGACATCGTCCCACCTCGACAGGACAACTTGGTCACGGGCATATAAGGACACGCAAGATCCCGGCTATCTGGTCTCGGTTCTCAACTCATAAGTTCATCTCCACTACTGAGCCAACCTTGCCTCCTTTCTCCTGGCTTAGTTCTTGTCAACTTCTCTGTTCTTCTACGATACTACTTGCCACAATGAACTTCCTCCGCCAACACCTCCCTGCCCCGAGGCAAGACCAGCAAGCCCGACGAGCTCGCCAGCAAGGCGGACCGGCGGCCGCGAGCGAGAGCTACCAACCCTCTCGCATCGCCCAACTCGCCCAGGAGTCTCCCACATGGTACAAATCCGCCGCCCGCCGAAAGCTCTACTTCCTCCTCTTCCCCGCCGCCGTTGTCTCGTACGCCACGAGCGGATACGATGGCTCGATGATGAACTCCCTCCAGACCGTTTCCTACTTTGACGACTTCTTCGACAACCCGCGCGGGGCGGTCCTCGGCTTAATGAGTGCCATCATGGCTTTGGGGAGCATCTGCTCGACACCCATCGCTCCGTGGGTCGCTGATAAGTTTGGAAGACGATGGGGTATCACGACGGGAAGTTGTATCATGATTGTTGGTGCAATCTTGCAGTGCGAGAGTACCGCGTTTGCCATGTTTGTCGTGAGCAGATTCATCCTCGGATTCGGTCTTTCTTTTGCGACGACTTCGGCGCCGAGCTTGGTTAGTGAGCTGTCACATCCCAAGGATCGCGTCACCATCACGGCTATCTGCAATACCTGGTATGTACTATCATCTTAAGCAACCAGTTGGAAATAATCAAGAACCAAGGGCTGACGACGTGGGCTTGGCAGTTGGTATGTCGGTAGTATCGCGGCAGCATGGATCACGTTTGGTACTCGAAATATCCCTAGCACCTGGTCTTGGCGAATTCCGTCTCTTCTTCAGATGGCACCTAGTGTGGTGCAGCTCGCAGCCATCTGGTTTGTTCCCGAGTCTCCACGTTGGCTCATCTCACACGATCGTGGGGACGAGGCCATGGAGGCCTTGAAGCAATACCACGGCGAAGGCGAAGAGACGGAGCTGGTCAGATTGGAGTTTGAAGAGATCAGAGCTGCTATCGACAATGAGAAGAGTAAGTTTGGAGATACCATGGAGTCTTGACGCATCTGCTAATCGCATCGAAGGACTTGGAAGCACAACTTGGGCATCAATGGTTAAGACGAAAGGCAACCGATACCGCATGTTCCTTGTCATCTGTAAGAAGCTCGTCTAAGCATACAAGAATCCAGTTCCATTTCCATACTGACGCTAATAATAGGCATGGGATTCTTCTCGCAATGGTCTGGTAACGGCCTGATTGCTTATTGTAAGTAGAAGACGAAACTTTCTCATTACTTCAGTGGGATTTGGACGTTAGCTGATGCGGACTAGACCTCTCGAGAATCATGGACACCGTCGGTATCACAAACAAGAACACACAAGCTCTGGTCAATGGCTTACTCAACATCTGGAACTTCGGCCTTGCCCTGACTACTGCATTCTTCGTGGAACGCATCGGCCGCCGTCCCCTCTTCCGCATCTCGACCTGCGGTATGCTCGTAGTCTTTATCGGTTGGACCATCGCCTCAGCTCGATTCGCCGAAACCAGTGCCAGCTCCGCCGGTATCGCCGTCATGGCGCTGATTTTCATCTACCAAGTCTTCTACTGCATCGCCTTCTCGCCCTTGCCGGTTGCTTATTCTGTGGAGGTCCTGCCGTACTCCATCCGCGCCAAGGGCATGGCAACATACGTCTTCTCGACCAAAGCTGCCGTCTTTGTCAACCAATACGTAAACCCGATCGGCATCCAGAACATTGGGTGGCGCTTCTATATAGTCTATGTTGCTATCTTAGCTGTGGAGGCTTGCATCGCTTATGGGTGGTTCTTGGAGACTAAGGGCAAGGCTTTAGAGGAGATTGCCGTCATCTTTGATGGTGAAGAAGCGAACGTTCGGATTGCGGAGAATGGGAAGGGAGATGGTCCTATTGACGTGGTTGAAACGGAGCACGCAGCTTCAAAGGTCTAGTTCGAGCGGATTTTGTCTACCTAATCGGGTACGTGATAAATCTCACATCAGGACGGACTTGAACATGAGGGCATGACAGCAAAGAGGCCAGAGTAAGCAGATCACAAGATTGCACAAGAGATAAAGTTCTTGAAAAACTGGGTTTTTGAAATTTCATTCATGAGATACCAACTTGAGCAATTTAAGTATGAGATTGATGATTTACGTTGGTGCATTAAAGGTCTCAATCATGTCAGAGCAGACCCGATGAGGACATGAACTTAGATTTTCCAGCCTAGAGCTAGTTACTACTGAAGGGGAAACGAGCCAACTGGAACAATGGTCAACAAACCATTCAAGTACATCACTCATAGTGGGGTACTTACTAGCATTTTCCCTCCAAAATTGCCTTAGGGCTAGTAAGCTCGAGATCGAAGTATAGGGAGAGGGTTGGGGTAAGCTATATGGCCACCTCCTCAGCAATGGTCCCAGTCACGGGCGTCTGGAGATCGGACTTTGGCCATCCTCATCTGACTGATATCTACGCTAATGATTTAGCAGAACCTTTGAACTCGATGCTTGCGAGACCTACTTCGACCAAGGCACACTCGAGCTCGGGATCCCAAGGCAAAGAAGAAATGGTCTATGAAAAGTTTGGCCAGATATTGGAGACAGGACTCGTCAGGGAAACTTACGCATGTCGCCATTGTCCCCTTTGCGCCACCTCTCAGGCCGAAACGCATAAACATCTCGGCCATACTCTTCCTTGCTACGATGAACAACCCAAGGGTTGAAGCCGACGACAGACTAAGAAAAACAAAAGCTATTAGCAGGTTTGAAAGTGCGTGATGGCCTCGAGCTGTGGTGATCAGGGGGATGCTTAACCCAGCTGGCATATGGTAGCCACCAATGTCATAGCCACCCTGGGGCACTACAGGAGGAAGAGTCATGCCGGCATAACTGTAAAGAAATAAACCTCCAATTGAATGTACATTCTAGCTTAGTCTAACTCTATCTTAATGTGTCCACTTCCACGACTAACGCAGCTGAGCATGTTGCGTTTCTTCTCTTCAGGGTAGAGAGCCGTTCCTTTGTGATCAACCTTGCCGTCACAAACAGTGACTTTACAAGCACCGCAGCCGCCCATTTCGCAGAAGAAGGTCATATCAAAGCCTGCCTCCCGTAATACCGTTAGCAGCGTTTTGTCGGGGGGCACGTCCAATGTCTTCTTCCGGTGTGACTCGAGCTCATTCACTTCAACGGTGAAAGGCTTGCCCCTCGTTGATGCGGAATCCACTCCCAAGCTTTCGAAATGCAGCATGTGGTCTGGATATCCCATCTCCATAGCTCGTCTCTGAGCAGCTTTCATCAATCCTTCTGGGCCGCAACAGTAAATTCTCGTGGTGTGTTTTCCATCCTTATCAGAGCCCGGAATCAGGACATCCAAGTCTAGGCGTCTGCCTTCGTTCTTAGCATATAGCGTTATGTTCTCGCCAGGGAAGCGGTTCAGGAATGCAGCCTCTTCGCGGTTTCGCGCTGCGTAATGTACTTCGTAGTCGATGTCCTCCTTCTTCCACTGGGCAATCTTTTGGAGGAATGCTGTCACGCCAATACCTCCGATAATGACAAGTCGTCTGTCCACCAGTCCTTCCTCCGCGCATTTCTGTTCGTCTTCTACAGCCTTTGGGACCCCGCCAGGGGCCATGGTGATTATATCACCTATTTGGAGCTTCATGTGTAGATACCTCGATCCTCCCCTGGAATGATCGTCGTGGGCCACGCCAAGGGAAAATCGGTTCAGGTCTCCTGATACAATCGAGTATGACCGCGAATACCTCTCATCGTCCGTTCCGAATTCAATCTGCGCAAACGCGAACTCTTTGAAGGTGGGTTCGTTGATCGTGAAAGGTTCTCGGAGTTGAAAGGTGAATTGTTTGACTCGCGAAGTAACGGGTGTGATATCCACGACTGCGTATCTTTTCGGCGTCGACTGCAAGCGGTTCAGCGCAAATTCCCGGACCATGCTCGTCACCACGCTCAGGTTGCACAGCTCCGCCACCAAAGGCAGTGCAACGTCCTTCCCCTGGATCACGCGCTTGATATTGAGAATCGACCATCGCGGATGAGGACGCTCCATGAGCTCCATCACGTCACCCGCGCATATATACCCTGCCGTTCTGACTCTCATATTCCACCCCGTTCGCGCCGTACGATTGACGCGCTTCAGGGCTCTGCCCCATTCGAAGCGCAAGTTTAGCTTGTAACACGGGCTGCGAGGTTCGCTCACTTCAACCACGACATCCCTGCCGATGCGGTAGACGTCGCCGACGCAAACATTTTCTTCGCTCATGTTGGTGCCAACTATGTTCTCCCCAAAGGCGCCGTAATCGAAGAGCTCCGGTTTGGGACAGCCGTCCTCGCACCGCCAGGACTCATAGTGCTCCGAGGCGTACTGGTGCAGAGCACGCTCGGTACTCCAGTGTATGGGGTAGACGTGCTTGTCATTGCCGATGCCGTGCTCGTTGATGAAGATACGCCCTTGCTGGACTTGTTTGAAGATGCCGGACGGTTCGGCGACGAGAGTTTTGACTTTTCCGGATCGGATTTGGAGGACTTTGCCTGGAAGCGGTGTTGGCGCATCGGAGAGACTGCTTATGGTCTCTTTTGAGATATTTCTCGTGCTTTTTGGCATTTTGAAACAAAAAAATACGAGAGCTTTAGCTTTCGATGGTATGTTTGACGGTATTGCCCACAAATTATAGCTAAGTAGCTACGCAATGCAAGTGCAGATATTGCCGAGAGTCTGAGAGTCCTGATAGTCTTTGCTGATGATGAGAGACGATCATAATGGATCAAAGCGACAAAAGTATTCCTTAAGACAAAGAGCGATTTCCCCGATTTCTCAGATTGTTTCGCGGATCAAAGCCCATGACGGAGCTCCGCGGTGCCGAGGGCGCGAAGGCGCGGCGACTTTCTGCTCTAATGACCTCACAACTGCTCGGCCCTCTCGGTGCCTCACGGCGATAACAAAAGACGCGAACTTACAGAATAATTAGTACGTATCCAATTTTGAGCTTCGTGGTCGGATCTGCAACACAAGCTTTGATCTACGTGCAGGTTAACCAGCATCACTGCGAGCAGATTATGATTCTTCCTTAGGCTAGTGGTGAGTAAGCAAAGCGTACTGACCGAAATTCCTTACATAAATTCCAAACTAGGTTATAGTGCTGACCGGCCAGACCGGTAGTGGCACCATAGCAGAAACCTCAATGTTTCCGCAGGCTTGCAGTTATTAACGCTCTCTGTCCAGCAGCGCGCCAGACCTCGTCAAGATCCCCATTTCCGTTACCAAGTTACTAGCTCAATACCGAGGAATCACGCACAGTAGCGTGAGCTTTGGCTAGAACCTAGTATGCATAGCTTGTTAGCTTATGGGGCGCGAAAACCTCTTATTAGAAGTGGCCATCGGTCTCTGTTGTCGCCCCTGGGGTTATTCCTGTTAGGAATTCGCCCTGAAATTCCTCATCCGGTCGGCAAACCTTCTGTCGTAATTCCGTCCTGGTGGTCGATGTCCAGGTAAAAGTCTACCGGGTCGTAAAAGTCCGTAGGTTCGCGCAAGTAGATGACCTGCCGAGCCAACTCATTAGGGATGGCATTCTCCAGCAGTGGGATTATACCTTCGCCCGCATACCCGATCTCTGCTGCACAACGAGCAAAATCGATATAGAAGTCATTCAAAGTCCTTCTTCCCATACGTAGGCTACCTTACGTAAGTAAATGATTACTCGGTTCCTCTTATCCGTCGCTGTACACTTGTTCAAGGGCCTCTAGAACTACCTCGATTGCTAAGAAGCTGCGAGGTTGTTCCGTTTGACACTGGTATCGTATTTTGTATCAGGCCGGCCCGTCTATTAGGCTGCGGATGAATGCGATTCGGTGAGACTCGATTGAATATGAAGAGGAGCTACTAATCAGCTTGTCGCGGAGATTTTCCTTCCAGCTGTCGAAGGCATTGCCATCGCCGGAGAAAACAGGTGCGTCAGGGAACTCAGTGTTGTCATGGAACTCCACTACGGTCGACTCAAATCTAGACGTTGTTCTATTCGAAATCACTCCGGATGCACCCATACCGCCTTGAAGAGCGCGAGAACCTTCTTGCTCAGGCGGTCGTACCACTGTAGTCCTCCGTTGGGACTTGAGATGGGCAATAATCTTTCGATCCCGTTCATGATCTTCTTGTAGTAGTTACAGCTCCTCAGATAGGTCCGTCACTCTAGCTTCTGCGAGATCTCGCTCTATCAGTGCCTTTTCGTTCTCCTGATATAGTTTCCGGGCTTACTATACCAGCCGCATGACTTCGTCTTTGGCGGTTTCGTCGCCTGATAATAGCTGGTTCGTCTTTGCCATCTTTGTTTTGGTGAAGAGGACCAAGCCAACGAGGGTTGACCGAGATCATCGCGGCACATTGCCCCGGTAAGCTCAGCGCCGGCCCCACTCCGTCCGGTCCTGCTCCCTTTTTGGTCGTGCCGGGCTCAACTCCTCGGTTGAATCTTTTCAAGGGAGCGACACGATAAGTATAGTGCCAGTGTGTTCATGTTTTATTTCAGATCCATGGCCGCAGTATCCTGGTTAAACAGTTACGTCCGTGGCAACAACATATTTGAATATTGATGTAATATCAAGACCAATCCTGACCGTTGACGACACAGTATGGTGCCAGAGCTCCCTCGCCAATTTCCCCAGCTTCACACGGCTTGACGCAACCTTCGTAGCGTGTGCAGATGACTCCAATCTTTGCGAGACAGTAATTGGATAGAATAGCAGTATCGCCATAGTTTTGATTTACCCCCACTAATAGTGGTTAGCAGGGAAGAACTTCCAAGGATTAAAAACGCGCAGCTCTTGGCTGGACACTAATCCTTCCTGTAACTTACTGACTACTCCTTGTATTCCAACAAAATTGGTGATGTTGACATGTCGCTGGAACTGCTGGCTGCAATTGCCGCATGACCGGTAGAACTTCCCAAATTTGTTGGCATAGAAGCCGTCGATGTGTAGCCATCCCTCACCTGCGAGTCAACGATGTTAGAATTTTGTGCTCAGATCAAGTTCCACGGCGTCTCAGCTCTTAGTACTCACCGTTATGTTGAAAGACCTTATCACTGGCCTCTTTCGCCCCTCCGCCTCTGACGTATCTCGGTCCAGTACCTTTGAATGTGGCCGCGTCCTCACATACGTCTTCCCACCAAACGTTCTCAATGGTACAGGGACCGCGGCAATGTACGCCCTCAGCTTGAGCAGGGCCAATGATGGCATTCTTCAGCGTCGCCCCGCTATCCAAGATGAAGACGGCAGCAGCCTCATCTTGCTCAGCTTGTCCTTTGCAGTCGCCGGAGCTACCTTTGCGATCAAACAGAGCCATCTTGCCATCAAATATTGCATTGGCTGGAATCAAGGAGGCAGTGGGAAAAGAGGTGCTTCCAGTGGCTGTTGGCCATTTCGTGTTGACCGATGGGTGTGGGCAAGATACGCCTCCGGAGGCTTGCCATTTTATGGTGCTTGTTGAGGTTGTTCGGGTCGAGGTGGTTTTGGTCGACTGAGCGGAAACAAGGCTAATGGCCACCACTAGCCCTGGAATAGTGATAGAACGCATTATAGGTGTAGTTCTAGAACGAGGACTCAAGCATAGAGGGATGCGGAGAGGCGCGAATTTGAATCTGGTTTTATACATGTGAGGTATCTGTTGACTGACTTGGTCGATCTAACAAAAGAGCTATTGCGTGCGACCATGTTGCATTGCTGTGAGTCGAAATTGGTGGCAATATCTGGCGTTATTCGATGAATACTAGTCGTGGTAAATTCATCATGAGTTTGTCCGCCAAGACCTGCGGACGCCCTCAAACTCCAAGAGTCCAACTCTGACATTCTGGTGAATCGAGGACTGCCAAGACTTGATGCAGCACCTAGCTGATCTCCCACCTTCTGACGGCCTTGCTTGTTCCACCAATCCCACCCAAATCAGGAAGCTGAGGGATGCTCCAACGTAACACTGAGACGATGTCATGCATACAATGCGTATGCAGCCAAAAGGCTTATCTAGGTTCACTGGGAAACAGACAAGGTCGTTTCGGTCTCTAGAAGACTGGTTGGGCTCCTTGCTCATCTAAGTATTTCCACAGAGCCTTGCTCTACACGCCATAATTGTATGCTATCTGTAACATACCTGATTTCATGCTGTTGGTACAATGTTCACCTGAAAGCTGCATCAGACCATGCATTCCAATGCTCAAAATTCAAAAAGTTCCAGACAACATTCGGATCCACCAAGTTCGCATCAAAGTCCCCGGGGATCATGGCGTCTCCAAGCTCGGTGTCCCCAGGATGGAGGCCAATTCCATCTGACATGAATGCAGGAGATGTCTGGATCATCTGGCTAAGGTCATCATGCATCCTAAGCGCGGGTTCGTCTTCTGTAGCCACGCTCGTCTGACGCTGCTGTACTGAATGTGTTTTCGCGGCGACATTGAGCAGTTCTTTGACAATATCGGCGCATCGTCTGGCTACTGCGAGCATTTTCATTGCCTTGAAGATGTCGAGGCTCAGCTCGATGTTTTCCATAACCTCTTCGGCGGGGAAGGGACAGATGTTTGAAATTAGGACGTGGAGCAGGACCATGCAGGCGTCTAGAAGGTACATGCAGTTGTACCACCTACTCCGAGTTAGCTTCTTCGGGTGCAAGGACTTATGGGTGTAAGGACGTTACCATGTCCTGAAGTAAGGTCGGTGAAGGTAGCTTGTGTGCATGAACTTGATGGTCTCGGTGGCAGCTTTGACGCACGAGGTCACATGTCGCGCGACGGTGTCACGGTCCGCTTCTTGCGTCTTTGAGATGATGAACTGTCGGTGAAGGAGTATCCTGGCGTTCAGGAATCCTGTTCGTGTACATCAGTAATGCTGGCGCATCGGCATGACATGCGAGTGAAGCATACGTAGCTTGAGGACAGTCTTTTGCTTCATGGCGAATTCGCTGTCTTCCAGTGATGATGTGTCAAATCGGAGCTGTCTTGGTAAACCAGACTTCCAGTCATCCAACTCCCTGTCCAGGTTGAGCGCAGTCTGTGACAGCCTTTGGAAGGATGTGTGACTACTGTGCAGGCCCAGGTTGTCCGTCATCCACATGAGGATCTTGGCCAAGTCAACCATAGGATTGATCAAACAATACGCCGAGTTGGGAAAATGCTTTAGCATCGTCTTAGCAACATGCACTTGATCTTTTCGTTCGGGCTCAGACTCACCGAGGTTTTCGGGAACGGTATTGAGTAAGAGCTCGGAGCACGTAGTCCCGATTGACGCCCAGCAGAAAAGCACATTTCGCTGAATGGTCAGCATTCCAAATTAACAAAACTGAGTACGGTGCGCAACTTACATCTCGTGTGAGTAGAGAGACCTGGATACATTAGCACTGCATATAACTACGAGCGTGTTCGCGATTGCCTACCACCAAAGCAAGCTTTCCGGACTTGTCTCGGAACGGGTATTAGTTGGGATACCCATAGCCGACGCAGTCCTTATTGCCATGCCGCTATACATGTAGCAGCTATGAGGCTTCAACGCATTTTGACCGAATACCGACTGCAGCTTCTAAGTCAACCAACTGGCTATGAATACCTCCGTGTTGAACGTTTTGCCTGGAACTGACCATGAGGAATAGTGTCTGCGCAGTTTCAAGCGAACTCGACTCGCAAATGTCTTCAAGGTGAAGCCTTGACCTTTCGAAGAATCTTCTTGCTAAGCGAATAGGTGGGTAGAGTGCTTCTTCGTCGCTGGTTTGCCCAGTCCGGTCCAAGAACTCTTTGGTGTGGTCTTCCATGAGTAAGGACGTCTCTCCCGCGGTAATAGCGCCGATAGCAATGACAACATTGTACAGTGCCAGAAACCTCGCCTCCCGACGCATTTGTGCAGAGATTATCATATCTGGCCTCGAAAGCCTCGACCATATTTCTTCCTCACATCTTTTGAGAAAGGTCATCTGTTCGAGGATCGGGTGGATGTTGTGCAAGTTTTGGAAGTACAGGCGGACACATTCCCGCTCAAGCTCAGTCGCAAACGCGGCATCCACCGCGGTAAGAACGACATCGGCAACAACGCCTTGCTGATACGACTCCCTCCTGCCGCCATTGCTCTGCGGACTTGCCTTTGCAAACTGGTTCTGACCGAGAATCCGAGAGTCCGGAGGCGTCGAGTAATCCGAACTGTGCAGGAGATTTACAATGGAGCTTTGCTTACGGTGCGTGCCGGCTTCCGGTTGCTTCTGTGTGTTCGCCCGAGAGCGAAGCCGGGCGAGGAAGTAAAATGTCCCAGTGGGTCCGTAAAACTCGGCACCCTCGGTGTGCTCATTGACCTGACCGAGGCCGTCTACTTCTTGTTCCGAAGATGTTGATGAGCCCCTATCCATGCGGCTTGGCTCTTGTGGGTTCAGCTGGATCGGGTTCTCGTGCTTAATTGGTTCATCTAGGCTAACTGGTGATGGGTGAAGATGCTCAGGCAATGATGGCTGTGGCTGAGGTATCAGCTGAGGTTGAGGCTGCAAACGTTGTTGCAGGCGGCCGGTGGGATTGTATGAGGATGACCTTTTACTCGGTCTGTGGGATGAGTTAGCCCCAACCAGAACTCATCGTGTTCCTCTCACATACGGGTCTTCCTGTCCTTCTTTGTACGAGCACGAGAATTCGTGTCCTTTGGGAGGTCATGTCAGTCATCAAAAGTAACTACCTGGGAAAGACAACACACTCACGAACACAATTGGAGCATGGCGAACTTCCATCACACTGAAGGGAATGTGGTCAACATGTCTGTTCGTTAAAGGCATCATCAGAGCTTGACCGACCTTGACTTTACGAGCCCGGCATGTACCACAAGCTATCGGCGCACGAGGCCTTCGCTTCCTCTTGAGATTGTTACCAGAGTTCGGGTTGTCCGATGATCCAAAGGCTGCAGTGGGGATCTCCGTCTCCATTTTGATAAGATCGCAAAAGCGCAGAGGTTTTGGAACTTTTGATAAACGTTGAAAGAGGAAAGCACAAAAAAAGAAACGCGAACCATGAGCGGGGCTTCGGGGCTATGAGGCTACAGCTCACTAGTACGGCGGGCTGAGCGGAACGATCATCTGGGGCATGGCATGCAGGGGGTTCGCCCTTGAGGGGTGTTTGTGAGACAAGGAAGCTTCGGTCAAAGTTTCTGAGCAGTGAGAGGATCACAAAGCGTCATGAACGTCGATGTCGCTCAGACGTTTACCCCAGAAAATTGGACGAATCGGAATGACTCGTTCGGGACCAGCGCTTCCAGCGAATAGGAGGCCGTCCGTCGGGAAACGTTGCGCCTCGGGATGAAGCCTCCCAGCATATCCCATCGGCGGTCTTCCGCAATAAAGACGACCGTATTGTCGTCTTCCCCAGTTTCTTCAGCAGAGATAGTTCTGTCTTTTATAATAAACAGTTTGGCCGGCGGGAATGATGCTTGAAATCGCCCAGCTATCACGCCCAGAGGGCGCTTACAAGGTTGACTTCTCATCTTGTAATTTGAAACCAGACAATGTTCAAGTGGGAGATGTTTCAGTGGAGGTACCTGTTCTCATCGCAGGCGGTGGTCCGACTGGTCTGTTCACAGCATACATGTTGTCTAAACATGGTGGTAAGTACTGGCACGTAGGCCTGTGCAATTGTGGGCTCTCCCAGTTCGATGGGGTAGAACGCTAACAGCTTACAGTGAAATCGCTTCTCATTGAGAAGTATCCTGAACGGCTGGCTGCACCTAAAGCGCATGCATTGAGCCCGAGAACCCTTGAAATATGTAGACAATATGGACTTGACACAAGAGCGATACGTCAATTAGGGTCACCTCGTGATGATGCCTACTGGGTCAATTTCTTGACGAACCTCACGGGCGAGAAGATTGGTGTCCTTCCGTATGAGCGGATGGACGCTGGTGTCCTAGAGAGTACACCTGAGGTATGGAAGTAATTGGATTTTCGTCACCCATCGACTTCAAGGTCAATTACTAATATGTGTATTACTGAAGATGATCCACAATATCCCGCAACCCGATTTTGAGAAATTTGTTGCAAAACGTCTAGAAAACGACCCAAATGTTGAGATTCGAAAAGGGGTTGGTTTCGTTTCGTGTGAGCAGGCAAGTAGAGAAAGCTTCGGGAACTTTTAGAAACTCCAAAGGCGAGATACTGACGACTGCCGTACAGCGAGGCGATAAAGTGACGACCGTCGTTGAAGAGCGCTCCACGAAGCGTCGTTGGACAGTTACCTCCAGGCACGTTGTTGGCTGCGATGGAGCAAAAAGCCAAGTCCGACGTTTTTTAGGGATTGAGACTGAGGGGGAAGATGGATGTAAGTTTTCTTGTTGTTCGCGACATGCAGTTCAGCTTACAAAGAGAATATAGATGAGACAATGATGACCATTCACTTTAATGCGAATCTCCGGCCAATCGTAAAGAATGGTGTTGGCATGCTGCATTGGATCGCCGACCCTGCTTGCTCCGGTTTTATCATTGCATATGATATAGATGGAAACCAGGTTTTGATCAGCAATTTTGATGTAAGTTGGAGAAATTTTTCATTCCGAAGGCTAGCCTCTTCGTTTACTGACGTTGGCTGGACTAGTCAAAAAGACATCCGGTGGAAACATGGACAGAAGGACTCGCGCATGCCACCGTGTCTGCTGCGATAGGACAAAAGATACCGATCCAGATCAAGAGTTTTAGACCATGGGTATTAAGCCGCAAGGTGGCAAAGGAATACCGTCGTGGAAACGTGTTCTTGTGCGTATCATCTCTGAATTTCCCTGCACGATGACAATGCGCTGACACTTACCGTTACAGGGTTGGCGATGCCGCACATTCATTCCCTCCTACTGGTGGCCTGGGACTCAACTCTGGCCTGGCAGACGCGCACAACCTTGCCTACAAGGTCGCCGCCGTACACCAGGGTTGGGCGAATCCACGAATTCTCGACACTTATGAAACTGATAGACGACCAATTGCCGTCATCGCGGCAGCTCAGAGTGTCAAAAATGGGAAGTCTATCTTTTCTTTCCTCAAGGCCATCGGGACGGCAGATGTTGAAGACCTTGACGAAGCCCGGAAACGGATGTATGAAGCCATCCACGACCCAGCCAAGCAGGACTTGATCGCCGAGAAGGTCGAGGGACAACGTGAACATTTTGACAACGTAAGTGCATCTTCACCAGATTGGATTTTAAAAATAGGCATTGACATGATCCCCTTCAGCTTGAAATTCACATTGGGTACGTGTACGGTGACACGAAGCCACCTGCGAATGCGTCGGACTTTACGCCAAAGTTCCAGGTTGGAGCCAGGTTGCCACATGCTTGGATCAAATTCACCAATCCGAATGATGAAAGTGAAATTCCGCATCAGCCCATCGACACGTCGTATGTGAAAGAGCTATCAAATGAGCAAATCGAAGCTCAACGCTATTCTACACTTGACCTGGCGAGTGCAGATACATTCTCTCTCATTGTACCATGTCGAGGAGCTTGGAAACAACGGTTTGAGGATTGCAAAGAGGCCCTTGGGAACAAAATGAGTTCTCGCCTTATGCTTTGGGGGGCGGACGTCGATTTCCAGTTTACTTCTGACAGTCACCAAAAACTGTACGATACGAAAGGTGGTTTTTCTGAGGGAGGTGCAATTCTGGTCAGACCAGATCAGCATATTCTAGGTTGCATCAGCCCAGATGCTTCCGCGACCGACATCGTCGCCCTCATTGCTGACCATGCCGATATACATCATTAGAAGTACATACAACTTAGGATGAAGAGTTTAGGTACATTCACTGAACGAACTAGAACTGAATGACACCAAGACTGTTGCAAGAGGGGTTAGAGACAATTATTTCCAATACATGATTACGTAGATGAGAATCTGGGGCAAGTGGTGATACGATACTTCAATGTAAGTAAATATTTAAATAACAACGTGGAGGCTTTGAATGTGGCAATTCCTACCTGGCAGTCCTTGGTACCCAACAAGATTGAGTTCTGCCATGGCCAAGCTAGCCACCGTATCTACTACCTGCAGCTCTCGCGACAATCCAACAGCTACTTTTACATATTGAATCATGACAATCCAAGTCAAATCCGATTTGCAGTTGACCATCGGACAGCCGGTGCTGTCAGGTAATTTTCGACCTCTACGACAGGCATATTGCCAAGCGTCGATGAGCTTGCCTGTGAGTCGAAAGAGCGTCGATTATTTGACCGCTGAGAAAGAACTCGCTTTGCTGCCTTGGAAGCAGGAGAAAGAGAGAAAGAAAAGCGTCTGCTCGAGCTGTGACTTTCTTTTATTAGTGCAAGTCTTATCAATGAAACTAGGTAATTAGGTGTAACGAACTTTGGGCCATTGTTCTCAGTAGTAGGTTCTTCGATTCGACTAAGTCGTTTGATGATATTGGACTTGAGGGGTTGTTCCCGTCTGATATCAGAGGAATTTAATTCGGTGATGTGCGAGATTTTCAACAGAAATCTAGAGGGTTTATATGCTCCTCGAAGACTGAGGATTCTGAGTCTGTGAAGGCCGCCACTGCTCGTGTGATGGAACAGACAAAAGCACAACGTTATCTACGTCATCTCAGGTTCCCGGAAGCAATGATCATGAACATCATTTCCCCTGCTAAATGTTTTGCCTGGTCCTGTATTGTCCTTGGCCGAGGATCAAGTCACCCAACGTCGTCACGCCTCATCACTTTCGCAACCAAAGATGACCACTCCAGGCCATGACTTGTCATGAGAGTCGCTCAAAGTAGCTTGCGCCACTTTGGATGACGCGGGGTGAGCGCTTGTCGGGCGGTAATGGTGGGAAGTTTCTAAAACTCATGTTCACACGGTACGGCACAGTCCAATCATACACTTCGCGATCGGCCTGATCGTCAAACCCCAGACTTTTCAGGACCCTTTTGGCATCATTCTGCCGATCACTACACACCCGATTTCTCAGTGAGATGGCATTCCCGCTATTCTCATATTCAAAAAAGGTTCATGGTGGATGGTGAGAAAACTTCGTCAAGCGGGCAACAAGGCTAAATTCTACGAGACCCTTGAAAGTGCTACGTGATGATTCTCACCTTGTTTCATTGCTGCTTCTCTTACGGCAAATCACCAAAGTGTTGAATCTTCCGTAGGAATTTATTGGAATTACCGTGTTAGTACGCAGAACTCAACAAGGGAAAGCAGCAGTAACCTCTGTTGAATGCTTCATGTTCCCTTTTAGGGTCGCCTAGACTCGGAAAGGCGGAGTCCGAAGAATGTTCCGACGAGAGCACTTTAAGACAATCACAGACTTAGCGATATCTGAAAACCTGATGCCTTATTTGATTCGTTTATTCGTAGGATGCATGTACGACCGAGAACGATACAATTGCACCGTCGGCCTTCCTAGACCCGCATCGGACCGCCTCCGGTATTCTTCGGCACCGGTGAACCCCACATGTTCTCCGCACATCAAATTAGTCATCTCTGAAAACTTTGCAGGCGCTCCCAGTCCCTGCCTCGTTTCTTAGACCGGCCAACGGCTAACACACTACAACACAGTCAGTACCTTGCAGCAGGGCACTTTTGCACAGAAATAGCTTCAAAACTGGCGCCATGGATCCAAAAGCATCTTCTTCGGCTCCTGCTGCACCTGCGCTGCCGCCAAACGTCACAATCTTCTCCCCTTCCAAACCCAGCACAGCAAAAGCCCTCCTCAACGGCAGCATCTTTACACGGCTCACAGCCAATGCCCAGACCGAACCATCAAAGCTAGAGGCTGCTGTCAGAGACGTCACTCGACCCGAGGTCAGCGACACCTTCTGCTTCAGCCACCGCAATGTGGTCTTGATTTTTGACGGCGAGAAGGACGGAGACGATGCTACGGATCAGCACCACGAGCACTTCCGACTCGTCTGCTTGGCGCTTAAGGACGCTGACATCAGCCTCGATGTTGCCGGTTGCATTTTTGATGCCCCGGAGGTCTTGCAGGCTGGCTTCCAGTTAGACACGCTTAGCTCGGGTTCTGTTCTGGTTATCGACTTGATGGGCGGGGATGACGATGATGATGATTCGGACGAGGATGATGAGGCAGCCGCTGAAAGGTTGCTTATGAGTGGCGATTCAGGCGCAACGATATCCTGAGCTGAAAGTCACTGAATTGCGGAAGACGAGCTTCATGATTCGGGAGCTGCCAGGATGACACTGAGAAGAGCATTAGGTCTAGCTGCTAGCGGAATCACGAAAGCAGGAACACGCGAAGTTCAAAAGGAAAGTGTTATTATTAAGCTTGGCTTCCGGGAGCAACGCCGAAACTACGGCCCTTGTGCCGATAGCACCGGGAGGCACCAGAAGCAGGCATCATCAAATCAAGCATCCCGGGCACACAGCAAAACTGGCAAGCCCCAACGAAATGGGAGGTCTTGGGAGAAGCTGGGAACGGCATAGACAGCCTTTTTGATGCAGCCTTGAGCGTTAGACCCATAGAGATGAATGGGCCCAAGTTGGAGTCTTTTCAGCGCGTCTATGAGCGGATGGACTTTGCTAGGTAACTTAAACCGAGGCTATGTCGAATTCCAGCCCCAGTAATTACCTTTTGGCCAGGGCTTCGGGCATGCTCTTGATATTGAGCCAGTCTCTCCATCTTAGACAGACTATTTAGAGCTACAAAGACAGATCTGCACTCAACTCAGATGGCACATACTTGGTACTCTATCTAGGTGCAGCATTTCATCTTTGAGGGCTGAGTCTAATGCATCATGGAAGTTAATGAACAACTCTCTTGCAGGTGACTATTAGTGAACGGATGCAACGGACATTTTTTTATCGCATCAAGAGTACGACAGATGCTATACGTGGTTCTGGTCGGACTAGATGCATCGTGCCTGGCGCGTTGAATCAAGGTTCCTTGTCTAGGCTGATGCGGGCTTTCAAGCCATCAACCAGATACAGAGCGAGCACCAGAAACATAAAGAAGTGGGCCGACACAACCGGGAGGCTTGCAGCCTCGAACAAGCCTACACAAGCATCTACGGATACTTCTTGTTCGGAGAAGCGGAAAAGATTTATAATCGAGGAGACAAATTCGTGATGAGTTCGCGTTCGGGCCAAGGACGCCAAGCTCGGCGAACGGCTTTCAAGACATTCTTTACGGACATACTGGGGAAAGGAAGAAACTTCAATCTTGGCAAAGCGCCACCCTCGTCCCAAGTCTCTGGGCGACATCTTCTTTTGACGTGCATGGGGAATACTGAGGCTACCCCAGGCGCCCAGGTCAGCCTTCAGCGTTGCGACGAGGATCTCGACCAAGTCCTCGGTCGGGAACCACGTTTTGTGGTGTCAGAGGAAATGGCACTGAGACGTCATCCTCAGGAATGCAGACCAGATTTGCGACCACGTGAGCTGGTAATTGCTTGGTTTCCTACTCTTCCACCCTGGTGTCTTGCCTGGGTGTCGAAGTCTTAACAGCATCTGGGCAGCAAACCTCGGAAAAGGCAGGAGATTTCGAACATTTCGAAACGGGCTCGCTCACGTCACTATTGTTTAAACTCCGCAAGACTCCGCGCCCCGTCGTTGGTCGAACGCAACCCTTGCCGGCCACATATCCCGGAATAGGAGTAGAGCGCCGACAATCTTGACCGTAATAAGACAGGTCGTGCTCAGTCGGTGAGGACTCCATTGGACAATTTCATTCGGACCTTTCCCCACGCTGCCCACTTTGTATCTCTCCTCCTCCCCCAATCCCCGTCCCACCACGCGCGGAGAAAGATGCTTGACACGCTTGAGTCTTTTCCAACGCCAGCCAGACGCAAGGCGATGGATCTCAACCGGCACTTGTCGCGAATTGGTGGCTAGCTAGCGGGACCATCCGGTGGAAACCTCGGTCCTACCTTGAATCAGAGACATTTGACCCCCAAACTCGCGCGACTTTTGGTCTTCTCCCACTTTCAACTAAAGCCAAGAGCCAAGAGAAGAAAACTGTGGGATTCCCCCTTGGGGTGAAGCTGGGGACTGGGGTACAGGCAAGAAAAAGTTGGGGGAGCGCTATTATCCCAAAGATTCCACTTCGGGGCCCTCCAGAACTCCAGCTGACCGTCAAATCCCGAGCCATTGGGGGCAACGGGGCAATTGGAAGCTGGTTCGACGGGTTCGTTGCCCCCGGGATGCAAGGTGACGTTCCCCGCGGATGGAGGCGAGAACGAGCTCCGTGTAACGCGCGCGCTCTCTCTATTCGCGGTTTTCGAGTTGTCAACCTCAACCACTCCAAGAGTCCAAGTCACTCACTTCGCCGTTAACCCCGACCTGAACTTCCCCACGGATGGTCTTATCCCTCCCCACGTCATCCTGGTGCGGCCGAAGAAGCTCCATGTCCAATGCAGCAGCTATCGCGTTCATTCCAAGCGGCCGCATGCCGCGACGCTGGGCCGAGAATCTGGACTGCAACCAGACCGAACTGGGGGACTAGGGACTCGTACCAGATCCCGGCCCATTTTCCGAAATTCTTACCTCTTACGCGCGTGTACTTTTGCTGTGATGGGTGAAGCAGGTTTCACCCCACATAAAAATGTTGTTGAGGGGCAGTGGTTAAGTGTTTCCCCGCGACGATCGGGACTTGCCCGAAGCCTGCCACCGCTTTATAACTAATAGCTTTCCCATTGTCCTCCTTCCCGAGTCAATCTCGAGTCAATCCAGACGACCTCTTGATTCCTTCTTCTGTCTCCCATCCTCTTTCCTCAACACACTCTCCCCTAGTTGTGTAGAGATCCGACA